GTGTTTGGCTGGGCAACCCTGGCTGGTCAGAGGCTTCCTGTCTCCCTGCCATTCCTCCTGTCAGGGCTGGCAGATCTTAGGCCAGAGTGAGGGGGCTGGCCTGGGCACCCTCCAGCAGAAGACCGAAAGGGCCTGGTGCATCCTTCCCCTCTTCCTTCCCTGGGGGCTATCTGTCCAGACTCTCCTTGATTACTCCGTGATATATGAGTGCTCCCACTGTTGGCTGAGAGAATCAATTAATTTGCTTCTGCCAGAGAAGAGAAGTGCTGTGGTTGACCTGCGGCGGTCCTGCAGTCCTTCCATGCCCTCTGCAGAGGCAGGCTGGTTTGACTCAACAGATCAATGTGGACCGTGGTGGTAATGCCTGAGGAGAGCCAATGGCTATGCCAGGGATCCGTTTAATAAGGTAATTGACCCTCAGCCATTTCTATTGGGTGGGGAAGAGCGTATTTTAGAGCCAGGACATTCCTTGCAGAGCATAACTCTGGAACTGGGAGCTGCCAGGAGATGAATTCAGCTGAGCCAAGGACATGCATCCCTAAAAATGCAGAATTTCAAATTAGGAGCACACCTCCAGGGGCCAGTTTGCTTCCTTGTGACCTCAAACTAGTGAAATAGGAACAAAGATTTGCCTGTGTTTGAAGTAGCCAAAATTCAGGTGAAGTCTGGGCCTTAATCCATACTATTTTAGAAAGTAGGCCACATCAGGACACAGATCAAACGCCGTTTGCCATGACCCCCAAAATAAGCAGACCGAGAAACATCAAGGAACAGTGCTTCTATGGGGGAAAGTGGGACTTGGTTGGCATCTGAGCGGACCTCTTACTAGGCTGATACATTCGAGAGCAACTCAGCTCATCTGGTAGAAGAATAACAGCTTGGAGAAGACAGCCAAACATGACCCACCAGAAATCTTAAAGGTTGCAACCCCCTTAAGAACCCCACCCTGCTGGCTGCTAATTGCCAGAACAGCATCTTGAGCTGCTTGGTTCAAGTCCAGACTCAGAAGCTATCCTTGGTGCTGAAGCTTCCACCTTGGAAGGTGAGCAGGAGACACCTTCTTAGAATGGACAGGTATGTGTTCTCCTTGTTCCCTCCATCTATTAAGGCCTTCTGCGGAACCTGGGAGATCAGCTCCAAATCTTTGTGGTTGCAGAACAGTTTTGAGGAGCATCATCAGAAGTATTGCATGGATATTGGTTTTGTCTCATATGTCAGAACAGAGAAGAAAGAGACCTTGGAGGTCTTCTAATCCAGCCCCCTGCTCAGGCCAGAGACGCTACACCATTCCAGACAAGTGACTGTCCAGCCTCTTCTTAAAAACCTCCAGTGTTGGAGCACCCACAACTTCTGGTGGCAAGCAGTTCCATTGGTTAATTGGCCTCCCTGTTAGGATGTTTCTACTTAATTCCAGGTTGCTTCTCTCCTTGATCAGTTTCCATCCATTGTTTCTTGACTTTCCTTCTAGTGCTTTGGAAAATAAGTTGACCCCATTATCTTTATGGCAGCCACTCAGATATTTGGAAAATTGCTATCATATCCTCCCCCCCCCCAAGTCCTCCTTTTCTCTGGACTAGCTGTACCCAGATCCTGCCTCCCTGCCCCTGGATTCCACTGTCCACGGCTGTTCTGGCTCTCACCGCCCACACCATGATATTCCCAGCTGTCCATTTGCTGCAAAGGAAGGCTATTTCCTTTGGACGGGGTGGGGGAGGAAAGATCTTGGAGCAGGAGAGAAGAAAAACTCCCAGCACTCAGCCTGTGATTACTGAAAGTGGCAGAGCAGGAGCTGAGCTGCGTTCTGGCTAAATGCTCCAATTTTCTCCAGCCCTCGCTTGACAAGACTGCAGCATTTTCTAGCTGCAAGAAAATGAGAGTGGCAGAAACTCTAAAAAGAGGAGGAGAAGGAGTCTTTCTTTCTTTCTTTCTTTCTTTCTTTCTTTCTTTCTTTCTTTCTTTCTTTCTTTCTTTCTAGGGCCATTTCCTCTGCTTGTTGTTTTCATTGCGTTAACGAACCCTGACGGCGCGCTAAGCCCTAAAGCGGTTTTTGAAATCTCAGCTGTTGCATTTCCTGCCGCTAAAGACTGGGGGGAACCACCTTGTGAGGTTCAGGTGAAGCTCAGAAGGGTTCCTGGGGTTTTCAGAAATAAATAAATAAAGGAGAGGCGTATACAGATCAGTTCCCGATTCATACAGGAATAAACTGATGGATGCAGATCTTCTCCGTGGCATGAAAAAAAAGCTCTTTTCACCAGCAACACACTTTGGGGTACCAGACACCAGAAGCAAAGCTGGTTCAGCAAGAAACTGGCTTGACAAGGAGACGGTTGACCTGGAGATTGTTGATCGGTCCCACTTCGGAAACAGATGGAGCTCTGGGGTGCGGTCCTCGTGGTCCACAAGATCCCAGGTTAAAGGAAAGGTGAGGAATCCGCTCAGCCAAATTGGTTCCACCTTCTGAACCACCACTCAGCTCCCCCTTCCAGTATCCAACAGCCATGCCCCATTATCAGCGATCGATATTACAATTATTACATAATGAGCTTAAAACTTGTCATTCTAGAGTTCCTCCCGATCTGTGCATCGCATGGCAGCTAATTGCCGCCAAAGTTATTTGGGGCTCTTAATGAAAATGCAAATACAGAGGCATTAATCAGACAATTACTTCTTAAGCACGAGACAGGCAATGCTCCACCTAATTAAGAGATAAACAAAGTTAATCAGGGTGCTGGCAGCATCAGTTAAGGGGACGGATGGGCTGTGGAAAGGAATATTGCAGAATGATGGATTAATGGGAAGACACCTCCCATCTGTTTCTTCTCTGCAGCCGGATCTGCTGATGAAAGGGAACTAAACGGTTTTTTACTTTTTAAAAAATATCTTCCATTTTGAAAGTCAGCGAACAAAACTCTCAAATCAAATCACCATCATCATCCATTTATGGGACACGTTTGGATTCTAAGAAGGAATTAGAGCTAAATTCACAATATATCGCAGAGTTTAATGGACTGAGGCTGGGAGCCACAGGCAGATCCCGATAGAGTCCTCTTTTCTTCCCTTAAAGGTAGAGAAAGATCAGATTCTTCCTCTCATGTGTGATTTCGGTATCTGTGGGGCTCTGTGGGGGGGGGAGCCTTGGAATAAGAATCCCTGAATCTAGAAACCCAGCATCTCAAGGAGGACACTGCCTTCCCTCTGGCATCTGGGTGATTTCGTTGAGCAAACCGAGCCAGCTGCAATCTGTAGAATGGGCGCCTTGGAGAGTTTTATCCCACTGCTGACACCAGGAATCTGAGTGTGTGCTTGACCGCAGGGTTGTAGTCGCCACATTGACTTTTTTGACCCCCTTCCTGTGGATGCCCTGCTACTTATTCTTTGATCTCACCCTTAAGGGCCCGCATTTTCTAACCCTAGGAAAATAATCTGCCCAGCCCACTGGGGTTCCAGATTCGAGGGAGGGGGGTAAAGTTTTTTGCAAGTTCGCTTCTCAATGAACACAGAAATACCGGAGACAGGGCAGGGCTACATCTATCTCCACATCTAGCCACGAAGGGATCCAGAATAAAACGGGGGATCTCTGTTCAAATCCATTGGCAGCCACAGAAACCTAGAGTGACTTTGAGGTCTTTTATTTACCCTCAGCCCAGCCTACCTCAGAAGGCTGTTGTTTGGGGATGGGGAAGGAGGGATAGCTGCAGGGCAGCTACCTGGAGCTCCTGAGGAGTATCCATCTACTATCCATCTAATAAATAAGAAATAATACGGTCTGAAAACCAGGTGCTTTCTGGCAGGCGAGCTTAGCCTGGTGGGTATCATTTCAGTAAAATCAGCATAAAACATGATCCATATTCAAGGCATGGCAGCCCCAAAGCCTGCCTTCTCTTCCCCACTTTTCCAATTATATTTGACATTCATCTTCGGCTACAGCACCTTGGCTTATAAAAATGCAGACGGAGTCAATAGCAGAGCCCCAGATTTACAAGGCCAGCAGAAAGCTATACTCTCTGCTGGTCATAACTTATGTTTCCATTTATGCTGTGTATAAATACACTGTGTATATATACACCACACAATCTGTTTATGCTGCATACCAATATATATATACCTTGCTATTGATTCTCCAAGGAAGCTGAGCAATTTACAGCAACTCATCTGTTTTGCCATTGACAAAACTAACTCTCTTTGTAGATTTTTTTTTTAAAAAAAAAAACTCCATAAAAGAAAGATTACATTTTGGAAAAGCTTGAAGCATAATGGGTGGACTTCAGCTCCCAGAATTCTTTTGCCACAATCTCTGCTAAAGGAAAAATAAAATAAAAGGGTGCTCTTTCCTCCCCATCCCAGCCTGTCTTTTACATGTAACTAAGTGTTGGGTCCAGTCTTAGCATCGCTGGGCTGCTACTGCCACCCGCTGTCCATTCTGAGAATTACAGCAAATTGCTTTTTTTTTTTCTTCTTTAAGGATTGAAGGGTTGACTTCTGCAGGACAATTTTTCAGGACACTCAGAAGAAGCCCTGTTCCCCTCTCCAAAGCTGGTTGGTTTGTTGTGAGCTGTCCTGAACTCGATGCTTGAGGACCCCCAGTTTTGTGCTCCCCTTCCAACAACAGTACCCCATTTCAGAACAATTGTCATTCTGGGAAATGGAGGGTCAAAAGGCTTCAATGGGTGTTTTGTTCATATGCAAACCTCATCTGGACAACCTCTGGCTTTACCCAGTCCACAAAGGGAAGGCAGCTCTCCTTGATGCAGTTAAAAAAAAGAAAAGGCCAAATTGGAAGAGACCCCCCCCTCCACCAACAGCATTTAAAAGTGATCAGTTTTGGTCACCCACACTAGCTGCAGAACCTCACAATCGAATCCAAGTTAAGATGAAAATAGGGACAGGGATTCCAGGAGCCGGCTGAAATTTCCCAAGATTTCATGTTTTGGCTTTCATTTTGGGATGGGGGGGGCATGGAAAGGTTGCTGACACCCAGGGAGGGAGGGACTTCAGCAGCCGACAGCCGACACCTTTTGGAGGCTTGAGTTTCACTTGGGTAAAATGACCAGAATGATCCTTCCGGCTGCCTTTATGGACCTTTATTACAGAGTTGCGTAAATAACCTCCAACCTCTTTTGAGGTGGCCTTGGCGAGGTCCAACCCCTTCTCCTTCAGCTCAGCCAGAGGCCCGTTCCGAGAAAGCAGGAATGAACAAAAAGCAGGAGACACCACCCAGCTTCTCCCTACGGTTCTCTTTATTACATCAGAGGTGAGAAGGATGGCTTGGCAGGGAGGGGGGTGTTTACAAGAGCATGCAGTGGAAAACCAGGCAGATTCCTCTGTTCTTGGTGACAGTTTTTGCCCGTTAAATAAGTTGTCAACATTTGTTTTTCTTGGTGAAATCACTGCATGCTTAATCGAATGCAACTGTGAAAAGAGAAAAGAAGGCCAGGCAGAGGTGGGGGGGGGAGGAGGGAGGCAGGAGGGGGCCTTTGGGGTGTCTAAGTGCATGCTTTAATTATTATTTCGGACAAGTGGTTGTCCAATCTCTTCTTTAAAACTTCCAGTGTTGGAGCATCCACAACTTCTGGAGGGGAAAGAAGGAAGGAAGGAAGGAAGGAAGGAAGGAAGGAAGGAAGGAAGGAAGGAAGGAAGGAAGGAAGGAAGGAAGGAAGGAAGGAAGGAAGGAAGGAAGGGGGGAGATCAAGATGGCATCGGAAGGGGTGGGGGAAGCAGAGCCAAACTGAGGGTGCTCAAAGCTGGGCTATCACTTGAAATACTCAGAGCCCCCATTGTGGGAGGCTGAGAGAGGCCCAGAGCCAAGCAGTGGGTGGGTGAGATGACCTGGGCCCAGAGGGGAGGGCTTCAGCCCGGCTCCTGCAGGGGAGGGAGGGAACCCAGCAGTTGGTTTCCAAAGAGCGAAAGGGACACGGGGGGAGGGATTGGAAGACGAGTTGGGCTGGACATGGGGGGGGCAGAGGGGCACAGCCCCCTTAGTCGCTGGACACGTGGTGCTCGTTCTGTAAGGCGTGCCAGCGTTCGATCTTCTTATCCTTGTTTTTGAGACACTCGTACCAGTGTTTCAAGCGCTCTCCTTTCGCTGTGATGCCCAACTGACAACCGCCTGCAGGAGACAGAGAAAGTGGGGGGGGGTTTTTTAGGAAGAACAAAGAGGGCCCACCACCCTGGACGGGGGTCACCTTAAAGCACCCCTTCCCAGGTCTCCTGCCTTAAATGAACGGGGCCACCGAAGAGGCAGGAATCTCAACTTCTTGAGGTCACCTCCTTTAAGGCCAGCTCTCCAACCTTGGCAACTTAAGACCCGGGGGCCAACTCCCAGCATGCTCCTTGTTTTAGATTAAATTATATTAAATGGTTTAAATTCTAGAGCAGAAGCGGCCCACCTTGCACCTTTAAGACTTGTGGACTTCAATTCCCAGAATTCTAGCTGGTTAGGGAATTCTGGGAGTTGAGGTCCATAGGTCCTAAAATTGCCAAGGCTGGAGAGCCCTGCCTTAAAGGATCTGCCCTCCTCTTCAGATTAGGGCAGGCCCTTCCCACCAGCCTCGCCCCCCCCCCAGACTGACACACAGAATGAGCATCCATCCTAGAATCCCACCTCCAAACCAGCCAGCGGACCCCTCCCCGATGGGCTCCCATCTTCTGCCCCACAGCCCCTCACCGATATAATCGTTGGATTTCCCAATGTCGTAATCCCACACAGAGATATCCAGGGACTTCTTGGCCAGGTCGCTATGCTTGATGTCGTAGAAAAATTCCTATCCAGAAAGACGAGGGGTCAAGAGGCGGAAAGGCACCTCCAGGAGCAGATCAACAAGAGTAACAACACAAAAAAGGTGTGTGTGTGTGTGTGTGTGTGTGTTTCAGCCTTTGAAGAAGGGAACTGGTTTGCTACCAGCTTCCCCTTGCTTTTCTTTCTTTCCCCTTTCGGCACCCAAGTGAATTTTTTTTTTAAAGGATGACATGTTATTTTTGAAAATATATTTTTCAACCATTTAGTCCCCCACCTGCCCAAAGCAGCCAAGGCCAGGCGGCAGACAGAAAAAGGCAAACAGGCTGGTGGGGATGTTGAGGTCAGGGAAAACTTTGGGGGGTGGGCACCAGAATCTTTGGCCCGGCTCCGGCCTCACCTCGTTGAATTCGGGGTTCAGCGTCTTCTTCTTAATCTGCGTCTTTTGCTTGGCTTTCTTGCCCATGTCGGGTTTTAAGCAACTGCGAAAGGGAAAAAGAGGAAAAGTAAAAAGCAGAGAGGAAGAATAAGAGAGAAACAATTGGGAGGCACCTTGGAGGCCTTCTAGTCCATCCCCCACCCCTCTGCCTGAGCAGGAGACCCTGTGCCTTCTCAGACAAGTGGCTGTCCAGTCTCTTCTTGGAAACCTCCAGTGATGGAGCGCCCACGGTTTCTGGAGGGACGTCGTTCCACTGATTAATTGTTCTCACTGTCAGGAAATTTCTCCTTAGCAAGATTGTCAAAGGGATGCAAAACCCACCCACAAAATAAATTGTGGGTGATGTGGGGGGGGGTGGCCTGGGGGCTATAGCCCAAGGGGAAAGAAGGACCTATGGAATAAATGGTGATTATGCCAATAGTGGTGCCAACCAATTGTTCCAACCCAGTGGCATAGGACTACGTATCCCATGAGCTCCAGAGAGCACAACTATTAGCGGCCAAGGATGGGAAGTGTCAGTTTCTTTCTCCTTTTGCAGATTGACTGGGAAGCAGCAGGAACGGGGTTGACTCCCACTTTTGCAACCCCTGGACCCCTCTCTACTCCCTTGGCCGAGATTACCAGCCCCCCAGCCCCCAAAAAGCTGTGCCTGTCTGAGTGGGCCAGAGAGGGCTTTGCCAGGCTTCCTGCAAAGGGGGCCTTTCAGAGGCAGACCTACATTTTGACAAAGGGGTCCGAGTAGCCGTTGGCGTCCATGGCAGCTAAATGGACGCAGCGCACGACTCCCACCACCAGGCCCCCTTTCTGGGTGTTGTACATGAGGGAGACCAGGATCTTCCCGCGTTCTTCCACCTCTCCGCCTTGCTCCATCTGCGGGGAAGAGAAAAGGGGGTCGGGGGGGGGCTTGTGCGTATCTCTCTGCTCCACTATCACAGCCGACCCAGCCAGAGCACAAGACAGCTTCAAGGATCGGGGCAAGATCAGATTGGGAGAGACCAGCCGGCCCAGAGAATCGCCAAGAGTCGGACCACCATCACCCGCTCCCTGCTCACCAGCTCCAAAGAGACCCTCCTCTCCCCCACCCGCTGAGTGCTGGGCAGGGGGGACTCGGCCCCCAGAGGAGCCCCTTGATGGAAGACCCTCCAGGTGACATATGTGCCTGTAGGGTGCCTGAGATCAGATTCAGCAACTGGGCGGCGGGAGAAATACTGGCAGGCAGCAAAGGATGCCTCAGGCCACAAGGGGGCGCACCGCTCAAAGGAATGGAAAGCTGCGGGAGAGACTCCGGATTTCTGCTTTTCCCTCAAAGTTGCAGAAATCGAGGAATTCCCGTTTCTCCCCGGAAAGCCAAACTACGCCTCGCTTCGCCCAAACTACGTCTTACTTCGTCTTCGTACAAGGCCATTCCTCGCGAGGAGCCGGTGGTTCCTGCCCGCTTCATCTGGGAGGAGCAGAGGAGAAGCATCGCCCAGAGGGCAATTTAAGGATGCACATTTGATTCATTTTTGATGCATTATCTAAGAGAGAACCTCCCAAGCCCCCCTACCCACTCCCAATTTAACTGTGATTTAAGTTCTATCAGGGCAACAGCATTGCTTTTTGTTTTAAATGAGGTTGTGTGCGTGTGTGTGTGTGTGTGTGGTTTGGACTGTATTGTGTTTCCATTCCTCTTTGTTGCCCAGAGTTCCTCCCGGCTTGTAAGCAGCCATCCGAGTTTGTTACCTACATAAATAAGCCACCTTTTCTTAGTCCCCTCCTGTCTTGGGCACACACACACCCCGCCTGCGCCTGGCCTGCCCCTCCCGCCTTCCCCCCACCCACTAGCAGAGGTGGGGGTGAGAACACCCACCGGGATGACCCTCTCCAGGCAGATGTTGAAGTTCTTCTTCTGGTTGGCTTTCAGCTTCTTGAGCGCCACCCGCGTCTCCCCAATGAACTCGTTGTGGCCAAATTTGTCTTCGTCACACACGGAGATCCTAAGCAGGAGAAGCGAGAGCCCCTCTGTATCAACCTGTCCCTCTCCCACCGAGAGAGGTGGGAACTCACCCCTGCCCCAAATTAGGGCTCAAAGCCCCCCCCCCGGTCTTAAAAGTCAAAAATGATGGTTGCCCCCGGTCTGCTGGGGATCCCCTGGTGCCGTCTGATCAGAGCTGGATCCGTTTACTTGCCTCAAGGTCTTCCTCTGCATGTCCTCCTCCGTGATGCCGTGGTACACCAGCGTTTCGTTCCACACGGGGTTCCGGGTGTTCCTCAGCGTTTTGGTCCTCAGTTTGTTGGACTGGCGGAAACGGAAGGAAAGGCAACCTGGCACCTCCCTTTCTTGAGTCCAAAATGCCAGCAGGAAAAAGGGTCCAGCAGTCCCATTTCAGAGACCGAACTGGGCCAAGGTGGACACCAGACCCCCCCCCCAGTTACCTTGCTGGCCCCCGGCAACAGGTGCAGTTTGACATAAGGATCCGCCAGTCCGTTGGAGTCCATCGGCTTCAAGCCCTGGCAGAAAAGGATTCCGCAGAGGTCAACAAGAGGAAGGAAGCGGGGCGGACGGGATTATTGCTTTGCCTGCTTCCCTGCCGCTAGTTTTACCCACACTTTAAAACCCAGGTGGTCCAGCTTGTTTGGATGTAACGGCACAAGGGTTATCCCCGATGGGGGAAACGGAGAGACGTACCTTGGCCTTAATGATGGCGCATTGCAAAGAGCTGTTCTCCTGGTTGTACAATAGGCTGAAGTCCAAGGCCCCCAGGGTAGCTGTGGACAAGGAGCAAAGGGTGATGTGGGGCTCCCCGCTCAGCCCAAAAGACGCCCCCCCAAGCAGTTTGAAAGTGGCAGCGGTGAGGACAACCAGGCCGTTGGCGTACATTATAAAAGGCAAGGCATGCAAGGAAAGAGGGAAGAGGAGGGCAGAGGAAAGGCGTTGCCATCCTTAAAGCGAAGGGTGTCAGGAGACTTTGAAGAGGGCACCTGCCATGCCCGTTGCCAGGGCAGCGTTCTTAAAACCTGACATGGGCACAGGGGGGCAGCCGCTCATAGTCTGAGGCCACCCCAGGGAAGGAAGGGAAGGATTTGATCCCATGACCCCAGGGACGCTGCAACAGTCGTAAGTGGGAAAAACACTCCTAGGTCTCTTTTTTCAGTGCCGTTGTAACTTTGAACGGTCAGTAAATGAACTGTCCTAAGTCAAGGACGGCCTGTACAACAGTGAGAGAGGAGATGGAGAAGACGATGCCAGGAACTTCCCCAAACCCCGGAAGGTCAGATTCTCTAGCTGTGACACACTTTGTGTCAAAAGAGTAAGCTACTGGCCCTCAAGGCAGCCAGCAGAGAGTTGAAAACTTCAGAATGCTGGCTGGGGAATTCTGGGGGTTGAGGTCCACAGGCCTTCAAGTGGCCAAGCGAGGATCAAATCACCTACTTGTCTCATCCGAGTCGTAGCTGTTGGCTTCCTCTTCGTCGTCATCCTCGGGAGGAGGGGGCCGGGTGGGGGCCGGGGCAGCAGGCGGAGCCACGGCCTGGCCGTATGGAGCCCCCTGGCGTGGGGGCCTCTCTGCTCCCGCTGTGGAGTACCCAGGCCCAGCGCTCTCATCCCTGGGTGGCGCAGCAGGAAAAGAGGTGGAGGGGTCTGCCTGGGATGGAGCCACGGAGGGGGCGCCTGTGAAAGCAGAGGAGAGAGATCAGCAGAGAATTGCCAAAGGACACCAACAGGGGGACTTTTTCTCTGGAAACAGACATGGACATAATCTGCTCCAACTCTTTGCAATGGACCAAGTCGGGAAAGAAGCCTAGCTGGGACAGATGCTAGGGAGGTAAAAGATCAGCCCAGAAGCTCCTTCGGACATCGGCTTTGACCTTGTGAGATAAGCCGTGTTGTGGGAACCTGGCTGAGTCTCAGCCCAATCCTCCCCCCCTTTCACACGCGGGCCCTGCTGAGCGTTGGATCCCCAGGGGGACGCAGCCGTCATACTGACCTGGTCCTGCCTCCTGGGCAGAGGGGTTCTGGCGGGGAGGCGCAGCAGGGTCCCTGACGCCCACAGCTGGGCCCGCTTTGGCTCGCTTGACCCCTGCACAGAAAGGAGAGGAGAGAGAAAACAGGACAGATCCAGCTGCAAAGATCTTACGGGATCTGGGGATGGTGGATCCACCAAGATGAGGATGGAGAAGGGCAGCTGAAACATTCTCAGAGGCACTCTTTTCATGGCAGAGGTTTCCAGATTTACAACCCCCCACACACACACACACAAAGGAGGCTCAACATTGGGCTTTAGAGCACAGTACAGCCGGGGCCCCTCTCGCGTTCACACATTCCCGCACAGACCCCCTTGTCTTCCTCTGCCCCCCCCTCACCTGCTGGGCTCCGAGCAGCTTCATTCTCAGCTGGATAGTCCTGGCTTGGCCGGGCCTCTCTGGGGTATTGGCTGCCACTCGGTCCCATCCTAGCCTCGGAAGGTTTGCGGTGAAGTGGGGGGTAACTTCCCCGATTGGAAGCGGAGGCTGCTGGCTCAGCTCCTGGGGTTTTTTTGGGGGGGGGGGGACACAGCAAAACACAAAGAGAGAGGGAGGGAAATGAGGCAGCTAGAAAGCTCCAGGTCCCCCAGCTGTTTCCTGCAGTTGCTCCCTTGAATAAATGGGGTTCTGGGAGAACTGAAGGAAGGCGCAGTGCATGCAAGGAAGAGCAGGGCTTGCATTGCCTGGTGTGGCCCCTATTTTGAGTTTTCTGAGCCCTCCCCAGAGGACAACCCTGCACAGCCTTGCTAAGGACACTCCCGACGTCCTTCCAATAGCAGCTGCAATGAAAGATTGCAGTGCAGAGAGGAAGGATGCACCATTAGAGACCCCTGTACCCCCTTTTCCCTGTGATCCTCTCCCCCAGCAGCTATCAGCAAGGGAGAAAGGAAGCCAAGGGCTTTGCAAGGGATTCTGACTTTCATTCATCCCAGGTGAAGCCAAGTCTCTCTGCCTGTCTGGGATGGAAAAGAGGACATTTTTTTCTATTCCCCCCCCCCCCAAGAAAACAGAAGCTTGGTGCTCTTGCTCTCCCTCTCTCTCCTCCACCCCCCCCCCTTTGGCTGCTTGGATCAGCTGTTCTGGGGAGGCAGCTAATGAGTGTTCAGACAGCGTCAATCAGCCAGCCCAGCCTGGCGTTCCCAGCGGGCTTGCCAATTCCAGGCAATTGACAAGAGTAATTCAGATTTTAATAATGGCCCAATCACTCAAAATGAGCTCTTCCGGATGAGCAGCTGACAACCGCAGCTTTGAGGAGGGGGCAGCCAAGGCCAGGCTGCGGCAGAGCAGATCTGCAGAAGCTGCAGAATCCTTTGGGGAGGGGGGAGGGGGGGTCAGCCTGGAACCCCACCCTGCAAAACCGGTCCCCCCAAATTGAAACCTCACAGGAAAGACCGAAAGGCCAGGGACGGAAGGCAACCCATCAGGGAAGGGTCTGTGTCTTACCGTAGAAGCCCTGCTCGGCGGAAGCAGCGGCTGCGGCTTCTTCTTGGGGAGAAAAAAGGAGATTTCAGGACTCCAAAGCCCAAAATGGACGGACAGTTCTAGGTTTCGTTTTCCTTTATTTGTGAATTTATCAACTGCTTCCGCAAGGGCGACAATGGAGACACCGAAAAGATGCTACAGGACAGAGGACGACAGAGGCTGCCCTTTCGGCTCTTCTGCCAGTGTTATTATGGGATGCCAAAAGTTGCCTCCAAAGACTTCTCTGGCATCTGGGCACAACCCCTCCCCCAAAGCCCCCTATTTTCTGGGTAAAGGTTACAGGGCAGGATCCGTTTGCCAGCCTCCCAATGGTGGCGCTCAGAATCTTGTGGGGCTGATAGCTTTGCTCAGCTCCGCCTGACAAATCTGCCTCCCCGCCACCCACCCAAACTCCGAAGGCCAAACCGTTAGGGCTCACCGGGGGTCTGCTGGTGAGAGTACGGTGCTGCTGGCTCCTGTGGGGGGGGAGCCGGTCTGCTGGCAGCCGGCTGGGGCTTCTTGCTAATGGCCATGGGCTGGGGAAGGGTCTGTTTGGGCAAGCCCTTGAAGAACCAGGCGCCTGAGCGCTTCCATACCTAGAAAGTGAAGAGGGAGCTCCAGATTAAAGAGATCCGATCTGATCAACGGACTTTTAGCCCTCTGGATCCCTCTCCTATGCTGGCCTTCCAAAGGCAGAAGCCCTGGGCCCATCCCGGAGGGGCCGAGAGGGCAAAATGCGCTTCCAGGACCCACCTCTCTCTGCTCGATGCAGATCTTGCACAGCCAGAGGGAGTGGGGCTGGTTGTTGGTGGTCTGGGTGCCGCATTTGGTGCAGACGTTCTGCAAGGAAGAGAGACGGGCATGGCTGGGGGCATGCAGAGGGCAAGGCGCTGGGTTCAAAGTTGTAAGTCCCGAGGAGCGTTTCATTAGCCCTGTCTGCAGACAAGATGCTACCAGCCTGGGTTTGTGCTGAGGCTGCCTCCCAGTCAGTTCACTTAATTACCAGACTTAATTAAGAAGATGAATTTTAAAAAATAAATTTTAACAAAGGCGGGGAAGGCAGAAAGCAAGGCATTTTGCAAAAGAGAGAGAGAGAGAGAAAGAGAGAGGGGGGGGGTTGCTGCCTGGAAGTGGGAGGCAGAAAGAAAACCCCTCGGCCACCTGTGCAGGGGGGGCAAGAAAGCCTGCAGGAGAGAGAGAGAGACCCCTCCTCCTCACCTTTTTGCAGTCTTCACACACCACACAAGCTGAGCCCGGGTGACCGAGTTGTTCTCCGCACAAAATGCAGCGGTTCACTCCGTCGCCTGCGATGTTACGGCGCATGTCGTCCAGACGGTTCATGAGGCGCCTAAACCATGGGACACGTGTGAGATCCAGAGCCCCCTCCCAAGCCAGAATGAAGGCACCTCCCCCATCCCTTGGCAAATGAGGAGGGGGCACAGGGGTCTCCAACCTGTCCTAGCAGCAGGAATGCTGTGGGGGTCTGCTGGGATAGACTACGCTCAAGACACAAACAAACATCCGGAATGCAGGAAGGTTTGAACGCAGCCTGGGAGACAGGCTGCCTAAAATCTGAGCAAGATAAAAATAGCAGGTGCAATAAAAATGATAATGCATTATGTGTTCTGTGCCAAGGCGAGGGAAGTGCCAGCTATGGAGACATATTGGAAAATCAGGCCCATAGGAACTCTCATTCCCTACCGGTGTAGGGTGACCCAGATAGGACAGCAGAGGAACAGAGTTTTAGAGTCATCAGGATGGGGCCAGAAAAGGACCCTTCAGGATAGCGATGGGTCTCGCCTTTTTCCAGCTTTGTGAGTAATCTAACCAATAAATCAGAGGCCTCTAAACAGGCACCTAGTTTTCCTTTCTAATGTGCTTTGCTATTCTAGCTGGTCAGGTTCTGTATACCGTTTATTATGATTTTTTTTTTCAAAAAGCCCAAAGCAGGAATGCGATAGAAATCTGAAACGCAAGTGGAGCCACGCCAGCAAAATGCACAGGATGAGCAAATATATTTCGCCTGTCCAGCGGTGCATTCGGTTCCAGTTTTTGGCTGTGAGGGGGAAAAAGTCTTGGGGCGCCCCTAAGCAGAACGAGAATCTGCATTTCTCAGCGTTGACAACTTAAAGATGGGTGGGCTTCAACTCCCAGAATTCCCCATTGCCAGGTTGAGAAACAGAGATTAAACGCTCCGATCTCAAAGCCGGCAATGCTGGTTTCTCTAGAGCTCCACTTTGCAAGAGATTCCCACGTTTAAATATTTATCAAAACTGCACATCGGGAAAAAAGAGAAGAGCTGCAAAGGCAGAATTGATAGCACAGCATGGGGTAATAAGCAGGACAACCCTACAGCAATATCGAAGATTAAATTGTTAAAGCCCAAGCATCAAGAGGATTTAATTCTCTTAAATTATTTTTTGTTGGGGTTTTGCTCACCTCCTGGCCCCCACTCTGATGAACTGAGGTTAAAAAGGACCTCAGATTTTACCCAGATGTATTAAAAAGACCCCCTCCGGGAACCGAGGTCACAGGCTTCCAGGGAGCAGCGAGGCTGAAAGCCAGAAGGAAGCTTCTCCAGTCGCCAAGTCAAACCAGATCAAACCCTGACAGATGCTGGCAAAACTTTCCCTCTTCTCCTCCTGCAATACGGACTAAGCAAGCCAGATTTCACAAACCAGCCTGTAATCCTGCAAATCTCGGTTCTGGTTTGTTTTGGTCCTGTTGACCGTGACTGTGGTCGCCTTCAGCTTTCTTTCCAACCTGGGGTTTGGGGCCCAAACCCACAGCGATCCAGAAAAGCTGGGAAAGTCCAGATTTCAGGCAAGCTGAGCCAGCTCCCCTTAAAGCACCCCTCCCCCCCTTTCAGATTGCCAAAAGCCAGCCCCCTCCCTCCCCCCCATCGTCTGTTGTTTGGGCTGGCAGAGGAAGTTACGCTTCGGTTGTTTGTTGGCTGCCAGGCGGCTATTCAGACAGGCAATCTGGTTGACTGATCGCAGCGAGATCGCAATATTTCTCCTGCCATCTTTGGCAAGCCAGAAAACGTCTCCAGGGAGAGCGCACCCGTCCAGATTTGGCACACAGCAACACGTCAAGGGGCGGTGGCCTGCTTTTGGGGGGGGCTTCTTGGGGAAGCTACCGCTGAGAGGCCATCAGAACGGGTTCACCGGCGAAAGCAAAGATGAGGCAGGAAATGAAGCCAGGTTGAGCGACCCCCCTGCAGACGGGCGTTAGACCCCCCCCCCCCGATGCCTGCTTTTGTGATAAATATAGTGGCGCCTTAAGAAAGGCAGCGATGCTTCAAATAAATGCGGTCCCTAAGCCCCGCCTGCCCTGCCTAGGCAGTCCTTGACTTACGACCACAGTGGACCCCCAAATTTCTTTTGTTAGCTGAGACCTTTGCCCCATTGTAAGGTGTTAAGTTAGTACCTCAGTTGTTAAGGGAATATGGTCACAAAAGGGGATCACGTGACCCCGGGATGTTGCAACCGAACGTTGAGCTCAGATGTGGTCATAAGTCAAGGACTCCCTGTAATTAATCTTCACTCAACCTTGAATTAAAGCACAGGTCATTCCCGGAGCTCTTCTTCCCCGTCTCCCCTTTTCCTGGGAGCCAGAAGAAGGAAGGGCGAGTCCTGCTCTCCCCTCCGTCACCTGATCCTGTCCTGCTCCATCTCCTCCATCTTCTCGGCTCTGGCGATGACCCTGTTGATGATCTCTTTCTCTTCGTCCGTCAGCTCTTCGGCCTTCCGCCCGCGTTCCGACTGCTTCCCGCGGGCCGGGTGGCCCTCAGGAGCTCTGGGGAGAAAGCACAGAGAGGTCCCGAATCCACGTGGGGAGAGGGGGGTGCGAACACTTCTCCCTCTCCTCGACGTTTCCGAAAATGGGCTCCCTTCGGGTTAGAGGAGCCCTTTCTCCAAACGGAAAAGTCCATCCCTCAGGTCCCTCCCCATTGTGATTTTGGAAGGAAAACTTCAATGAGGCCAATATGTATTTGTGGATCCTCCTGAGATGCCAAGTTGGGGCTCCAAGCACCAACGGATGAGGATGAGTCAGAGGAATGCGTCTGGTGCCGAAAGACCTCGGTGGCCTTCAGACGTGGCCATTTCCTCTTCCCCACCTCCAAAAACTTCCCCAACAGCCTTTCTGTTCGTCCCTGGAGGCTTTTAGGAAGGGATGGGACAACCCTTTGTCCAAAATGGTACAAGGTCTCCTGCTTGAGCAGAGGGGTCAGACTAGAAGACCTCCAAGGTCCCTTCCAACCCTGTGATTCTCTTATTCTGACTCAAAGCCCGACAGATCTGATCAGGATTACCCCATAAATGATTCTTCTTCTAGGGCCAACTGTGGCTTGAGGGAGAAACCACCCTTATCGCGGATCCGCCAGGCTGAAGACGCGGCCGTCGGCTGCTGGGGCTCCAGAAACAGGGAAAGCTCACTTGGCTTTGCCAAGGAAGAGCAAAGTGGAAAATAAGTGCTGTGTCTCGGAAGGCTGCTCCTTTAATAACCTGTTTGTCCTCTTCAAATAATAAGCCAGCATTTTTGGCTCACGGTCTTATGTGAATCAGTCTGCTTCATTTCCTGACCGTGGCAGGCTATATTTTGTTAAATAATAAAAGGAATTTGTGTGCAGCGGGCCAGCCTCTCCTGTGGGATTCAGAAAAGCTTGCGGCAATAAAGCTGAATCAGGACGAGACTAAGGGAGATATCTACTGTATATATTTATATATATATATATATATATATCTGTCTATATATATGAAAGACCTTATGGGCGATTGCTCCCTTTTTGAAAAAGTCAGAAATTTCACAGAGTGCAGGAACTACTAAAGCCTAATCACAAAACTGTTGGGGACGCTTGGCAAAGGAACAGCAACCCTAAAAAAAACAGAACTGATGTTTCGGTGTACCAAAATGCACCAGCAACCAAATTGAGAAACCCGCAGAGCCGTGGCCTGAGCAGCCCAGCCCCTCTTGGCTGTGCCCCCCCCCCAAGTGACCTGCAAGCAATTTAAAAGCTAATGAATTCCCTCCCCCCCCCTCTGTACATCTTCTTCCTTCTCCGCAGGCCATTAGCATCCAGGCAGTTGATAAGGAGCAAAGAGTTCTTGTGTGGAGCAAGAGACGCATATATTATTTAAATTCCTGGAATTGAATTCAGGCACTAAATCGAGGAACGAGGCGAGATAGAACAGGCGCTTCAGGGTGGAAATTAACAGGCTGAATTCAATTATGCCGGGCAAAGCCAGTCACTGAGATGCAGAGGTCAGAACTGATTAATGCGCAGACAAGCCCCGGGCTCAGAGGCAGTCTCGGGGTGCAGACACCTCCAGAAGGGGGTGCAGATACCCATCTCAAGATTGAAAAGGAGGAGAGGATGTGAGAGGGGGAGGGAAAGAGCATCAAAATTCCCTGGCCGACAGTTCAAATCGGTCTTTGGGATCCTTGAGGTCACCAGGTCCAGCCTTCTGTTTGGTGCAGTACATAGCTAGATCATCTAAAGCACGATGGGGAATTATGGCAACTTTAGGACCTATGGACTTCAACTCCCAGAATTCCTGAGCCAGAATTCTGGGACCTGAAGTCCACAAATCGTTAAGTTGCTGTAGTTGCCCCCCCCCCCGAAAGAGAGGCCTCTCCACTCCTTCCTTGGAATCATCCAGTGCAGGAGGCCCCACCAGCTCTCTGGCGCCAGGACCGCCAGCTCCTTCTAGGCCCCAGAAGCTGCTATGTGCCTGGCCACCTCCCCGTGAAATCACCCTTAGCATCTCAACCCCTATGCTTTGGTCTTTGTGTGCTGTGCAGAACCGGGGTGAGCACATCATGCGAAGCCATCCATGACAGCGAACTCGGGAAACCAGGGTCACTCAAAGCAAGGCTTAGTGTGGCGTGGACACCCAGCTGTTGGGGAACTCTACAGATGGAGCCTGGAGCTTCCTCACCTGCTCTGAAGAGCCATCTGCCGGTCACTCTGATACCCCCACTGGCCAGGGCTGCTGCTGACTGCCGTGTCCGTCATGGCCTAAGTCTGAAAAATAAAAGATTTGTAAGTTTGAAGTGGGAGGAGGAGGAGGAGGAGGAGGAGGAGGAGGAGGAGTTGGCAACTCCAGGAAAGGCATATATGGATCTCTCCACTTTTCAGGCCATCTACAGCTGCAATCTCCTTCCCATGCACCCAAACATCACAGGTGTAGTGGAAGGTGGTCTGGATTCCCAGGAGGGAGGGGCTGCCTTTCAGAAGGCAAAGAGACAGCAAAGCACGGAGAAGTTGGTCAGCAGAAAAGGGCTAAGACTCCTCCCTGGCCTTTCCCAGAGTATCAATAGTTGCTCAAATCTGGCAAAATTCTGTCTAAAGATGAAAAACAACAAAGAAGCTACTCAGAAGTCACTTGTGTCTTCTTCTTGGGGCCTGACACCCTGTGCCGTCTGAAAACATCCCTACTGGGATGCAAGGGGCAGTTCTACAGGCCAACTGAGGCTCTTCCGCCTGCAGGTGCTTGGACCACATCAAGGCATTATTGCAAGGAGAAAAGGTTTCCCAGTAGAGTATTCTCGTAAATGGATTCCTGCTGCATGCCAGCTCGCTTGCAACTGGAAACCGGCCAGCAGCAGGGCACTTTAGCAATCAAACTGGGAGCGTTGGAACAGGCACCATGTGGATGGCCAGAAGAGCTGGCTTCCTTCTGCTGCCCTCCACCGTTCGTCAGCAGAACTCTGACAATCTTTTTGCAGACTCCCAACTGTTAATTTTCTAAGTGGCTTGGAGTGCCTCTCTCTTCAATGTCATTTTGTCTTTGGCCCACATTTCACTGAAACTGCCAGCCTTAATGGCCTCTTCGCCCCTGGCCGGAATCACAAGATGGTAGCCCTTGGGGATATTGCAGGGATTTCTGCCTTTGTGGGACTGTTGCACCCCTCACCCCTCCAAAGTCCAAATTTAAGAGGAAGAAAGAACTGCCGACATGACTTGGATCAGAGGGACACTCTTAGCCACTTTCCAAAGAGAACTTGCTTTCATCGTGTTTCCGAATGGCTGGCTGACATCCGCGTGAAGAACTGACCGGGCAAGCAGGAGAAGACAAGCCTCTTGTTGGGCTTTACACACACACACACACACACACACACCAGTTTTGTCGCTTATCTAACTCCATTAACAGATTCTCGGCTGACTGAAGAGCATCTGGAAACACTGCCAAGTTTCCTCTAAGTCACTCATTCCAGGCATGCGGGAAAGAATCAGAGCTGGGAAGAGATCCTCCTCTCTGCCTCTGGTTGACCCACCCAGTTCCTGGAGGGGGAGAAGGAAAGACCCTCAGGGGGCTTTCTGCAAAAGGGTTAGGTGAGGGGGGGCACTCCCTGTTTGAGCCAAGTTACTGGGGACCGCCTACCTCAATAGAAAAAGATACGTTGAAGTAACACCGTTGTGACCGTACAGGATTGCTGTAGCCACCTCTTTTTTTATTGGCCCTGTTCAAAGTTACAGGGGAAGAGCCTTGGGGGGGAGGGCTCTGGAAAGCTGCACCGAGGGAGTTCAGGAATGGAGATTCTGCCAGGCAGGGAGGGAGGGCAACGGGCATCCAGGATCATTTCGGATGGGGGCACAAAGGCCCTTGGCCTCCAGGGCATCCCTCAAAGCTGAGCAAGAGATGGAAAAGGTGCCTGGTGGTGCCCCGGAGAGGGAGGCAGATCCGGGCAGAGGCCCCGGGGACTCAGAGGAAGGCAGGGCTGGTTTTCTCCAGCGCTGCAATGCAGCTCTCTTCCATCCTGATGGGGGGGGGGGCAGAGAAGGTGGCCACAAAAGCCAGGAAGAAGCTGCCTTCTTTTGGCTCCTTTTGTTCCTGCCTGCTTCACCCTGTTCTCTTTAAGAAAGGGGAAAGAAGCAGCCCACTGAGAAACTTCAAAGTACAACTGATCTGAAAGGAGGGGAAGGGAGAGATGGAAGGAAGGGAGAAAAAGAAGAAAGGAGAGATTTCCCCCCCTTCTTCCTCTTCTCCCTTCCAACTGCTCCCTCCCTGCCCAGTTCCTGAGTGCATTTCAGAATTAATGACAGGCTAGTAGAGAGAGACAGAGATGGACAGATTTAGATCACATTTATTTACATAACACAAGAGATGGGAGGGAAGAGGCATCACCTCCCCCCTCTTCTTCTCTGACTCAATTCAAACCACCCAAGTCTTTTTCTTCCACCGGAACAGACCTGAATTCAAGGCCATTGGGAAAAAAAACGTGGCCAGGAAATCACCTGAAAAGCTTTCTGCTGTTTGCAGGGGAGGACCTGTTCTGACCTGCCTGGTCTTACATCCCAATTAAAACCAGCGTGACAATCCCCATCCCCACCTTCCCCATTCCTTAACCCGCTTTTGCAGGATGCACTGGCTGGCAAGGAAGAGAAGCACTGAATTAATTGCACTGTAAATTACACCCAATTCGCCAGAGAACTGGCTGGGGATACCATGGGCGTTTCAGTTGATTTCTTCCCCAACTCATCCCTTCACTCACCCCAGTTCATCCGAAAAGTCCTCAACTCTTCTTCCTCTCCCCCCCCCAAAAGAGAAAGGGCAGAAGGGCCGCAGCTAAGCTGTGCTCAGCGACAAAGGAAAAGAAGCTTTGCGTGCTCTGCGTTCTTCTGCGGAGCCTCTGCGCGAGTCAACGGCTCTTCCTTCCTTTCATGAGCAGATGGATAATGAATGCAAGCCAAAGGGGAGGAAAAATGCAGGACGAGAGATAAATCAGCCTGGGTGTCTCTCTTCTGCCTCTTCAGAAACCCAGGAAGGGACTTGGAAAAGGGGCCAGCATAGCAATTGTGGCAAGGCTGCCTCAGGGCAGAGGGGAAGGCCAGGAAGAGGAGGAGGAGGATGGAGGCTCCGAGGCTGAATCAGGGAGCTGTCCAAGGTAAACAAGAATAGAATATCTGCAATTAGTGGCAGCTCCTTTCACACTTCCTTGGATGCCCAGATCTCAAACAGTCCCCACTCTCTCCCGGAGAGTCCTCCTTTCCACAGTAGCCCCCTCTCAGTTTGCATTCAGGCTGGCTGACCCCCGCCAAAAACTCATCAGCTGCCTAATTACCCATTCCTGAAAAGTTGCTCCGCCTTCAGCTGCAGGAGCTCTGAAAATTGAGCTGCTTCCAGAGAGGGGAAGAAATTAAATCCAGTGGCCCAGTTTCTCCACAGAAGAGAGCCTCCCCCGGCCTGCCTCCGCCCAAGAGTTTGTTGGGCATCCATTGTTTTGCATTCAGAAAGAGGGAATCAAACCAGCACCCATTCTAGTTTGCTGGAGAGGGAAGGGAGCTCCTGCTGGACACCACCTCAGCATGCTTCACGCTGCCAAAACCAAGAAAATTCTCCTTTCTAAGCAACAGTTGCCCAGCATGGCTGTTCTACAGTATCTACCACAAATCCACCCCTCCTTTTCCTTTTCTTTCCTTTCTTCCACCATTCTCCCTTTCCTTTCCCCCTCTCTCCTTTTCCTTTCCTTTTCTTTCCTTCCCCTCCCTTCCCCTCCCTCCCTTCCTTTCCTTTCCTTTCCTCCCTCCCTTCCCTCTACACACAGCACGAAGAATTCAACCCTGCTTTCTCCAATTCTGTTCTCCTCCTTCAACCCCTCGCCCCATCCAGATATCCTTCCAGCTCACCTTTTGCCCTCCTCCCTTCAGGGACCTTCAAACCCCAAATTTCCATCCTGGGAGGCACCCCCATCCCCTCATGCAACCACCAGCCCATCCTGCATACCTCTTTCCTCCCAGTTTTCCCTTTCTTGTTATCCCTCAATCCTATCTAGAGCAAATCTCTTTGCAATGTGTGTGTGTGTGTGTGTGTGGAGGTGGGAGAACCATGTAACCAGTAGGTCAGGCCTGGAAGCACCGGAAGAGCATCGCCTCCCCTTCAGGAGGGTCCACACACACCCTGAGTTTGTTGCAGGCACTGCAGTAGGAAAATGTCTCCCTTCCCCACTGCAGAGCAAATCCCTGATCATTTCTCCCCTACGAGGATCTCGCTCGTCTTCCTGCAGCATTTCTGGGGGGCCCAAAGATCCCTTTCTTCAGATTCAAGGCTGGCTGAATCTCAGCAAAGTCGGAGTCTGAGAGGCAGCCAGCCGCTGCAGCGCCCTGCAAACCCTGCCATGCAGAGATGGCATCAGCCAACTCATCCCTTCCACTGGAATTTCAGAGTCTAATCTCAAGGGAAACAATGGCTCCCAAAGTCCCTGGGTGGAGAAACTGAGGGGCCAGAAGGACCGCCAGATCCTGGGCTCTGCCCAGCAGCAAAATCCCTGCACGGAGTGCAGCCGCCACGTCCAGGCCAGGCACCCTGTAAACCATCCCTGCTGTTCACTGTGAGGCCAGCGAAGACGTCCCGAGTTGTTGCTTCATGGTTGCGTAAAATTATGCCTCCCTTCAGCGGCGATATTCTTAAATTTTCAAGGTCTGCTTAGGGCTGGTGGGTTCACCTTTGAAGGCCCCGTCTAGATTAGGTTGCAGATCTTCTTGTGGTGTTTTGTTCTTCTCTTCCCAGCCCTTGAGGGTGTGAGATGTGTGTTTCAACCTTGAATGAAGGGAGCCGTGGAGGGCAAGACAGTAGGGCCACCTTGCCTTCCAGGAAGCCCACAAAGAGGGCCAAGGCCTTGTCCCATATCTTATCTCCAGTCTGGATGCTTCAGCCCTGGACACGGAGGCTTTCTAGATGTGACCTGCCAAGCTTCCTCATCCCAAGCAAGACAAGGTCTACCCAGAAGGCTACATTAATCTAGGAGAGCCTCTTGCTTTACCTGGCCCTGTCTCCTCTGCCCTAGCTGCTGTAGTCTGAGCGGCTTTCAACAGTCTTCCAAGGTCAAGACAAGGGTCCACGTTCAGGGATAGCCCTTCCCCACCGCCGTCACCACCAAGGCTGGTTCTTTTCCTAGGTGGGGAGGCAGCTACCCCAGAGCACAAGACCAAGGTTGGGACAGGAGCTGAGGGTGCCAACCTGTATAACTACCAAGCAAACAGGCAGGTGGGGGCAGAAAGACCCCCTTCCTCTTTCCCCAAACTTATCTATGACAGGTTTGGCCCTGGATTCAGGTTCACACAGCAGAAGCTTGTCAAGTAGCTACTCCGTCTCTTCAGATCCTTGTTCCAGGCCTCTCTGGTGCTGGGCCTCCTTCGCCCCTTGCCAGCTCCTCTGCATTTCTGCTCCTCCTCTCCCAGAGGACCTTCCTTTCCCATGGGGAAGGGCCCTCCAAGCAGCCTCCCCATGGCAACCACCCCTCCGGGGAAGATCCACCAGCTCCACCAGGCTGATGGAGAGGCTGTCAGAAACAATAAACTTGCTGACAGCCACAAATCCTTTTTTCAAATTCCAGCTGGGATGTTTAATAGCCCAGGGCGAGATTTTGCAGTTGGCTGAAAAGAGGCCACCTGTTTCCTCTCCCCCCTCCCCCCCTTGCAGCTTCCTCTGCACCAATTCTGCATTCATGCCGGGATCTCTCTCCTCCTAAAGCAAACCTTCTCCCAGATCACAGCACCCCGGGACGAAACACTGGGGCTCCCCACAGTTATACTTTTATACTTTGGCTCGCTCAGCCTGCAGAAATAGGGTGTCGCTCAGTTAGAGCTCCTCCATCCCTTGGTTTCCGGAGCAGAAGAGGCTTCAGGGCCGCGATCTTTCTTCTCCGTCCTTTCTACATTTTTCAGTTCGAGTCCTGGAAGTTTATTTTTGGCTTTGCTCCTCACACCTTCTGGGGGCAATGGGGGCTTTAAGAAATGGAAGCAAACCGAGCATCGGAATCTGCTTTCGAACCGATGCTCCAGCATCAAGGGGGAAAATCCAGATACACACTAGCCAAAATTTGCTTGTTTGCAGAGCTTGGAGATTGTGGTGTATTTTGCAGGAAACAACACCAGACAAACCTCCCTGAATTCAGCCACGAAAAAGGGAGCCTTGTTCTCAGCCACAGGAAGAGCATCTCTGAGAGCCCCCCAGTCAGATTCTGAACCTTCCAGCTCTGTCCACTGCTTCTCTCCCCACCAAGTTTCCATTTTTCGTGACAGAGAAGCTGAGGTAGATATCCCCAACTGACAATCCACACTTCCTCTGACTCCAGACCTGCTTCAGACGGCTGCCCCTGCAATCCAGCGGTCAAGCACTGAGTCCAGGGTTCAAATGTCAGCCGTGGGACACGCTAAGATGTAGGTGACTCCGTTCTTGCATGAGGTCATGCAGGCTTGCCCTTAATCTAAAGGAGAGATTGATTTGTGGAAGAGAGCTGCGAAAAGTTAAGCAAGTTAATGGAACCTTTAGGTGCAAGAGCAGAATTATTTCAAGAGCAGCCCAAATAAAAACAGCCAAGGCCTTCCCCAGATGGGGCTAAACACCGGTGGGGGAGGGTCTCCGCCAAAGGGGGAAGGGTTTAATTCAGCAACTGCTGACTTTCTCTGCTCTTCTGGTCAAGCCAGACAAAACATGGGATGAGTTGAGCTTGTCTTGGTCTGGAAAAGCATGGACTGCCCTGTGGAGCCATCCTACCGCCCTTCACTCAGCCATCTGTAAAATGGGGATCCTTGTGATGGGCTCTGCTGGCATCTCAGTGGAAAATAAATAGCCTTTCCTTCCTCAGGAAACAAAGAGGTTTTTACTGATGGAAACGTCCATTACACAACCGTTAAGGACTCTGAGAGATTTTAAAGATTAGCCTCCAGGAAAAAAGCCCCTTGGGAGACCGAGGGGGCCTGGTGGGGTGAGGAGATCTTGACAGGGTGGGGGATGCCCAGCACCAGCTAACAAGCTTCCTCAATTTCACCCACTGGACATGCCAAAACCTCAGGAAACAAGCTGGAGTGAAAATGTCACTGCTCATTTAGAAATGGACTTGAGCCCCGTTCTTGGCTAAGAGACATCTTTGCAGGACTTCCCCCCTCCTCTTTTTTAAAGGAAAATACAAAGAGTTTTGGCACCTGGCCACTCTCCATTCCCTCTGCTGAAAAGGGTCAAGTTTGTCCGCGTTCAAACTGGACACGGGTGCCGTAGGTGGAGTTAAAAAGTCGATGCAACCTTCTTCAATGAACCTCAGTGCAGGGCGAAGCACCCACCGCCAGCTAGGAACTGTACTTCAAAGGGTTCCCCTTGCCCCCTCCTCAAATTGCACATGGAGAAAACATGCCGATGAGAATAAGCACAGACCACAGGACGATTTAAATTGCCAGACTCCACGGGATTCAGTATTGCTCAATCTTAGCCACTTTAAGACGTGTGGACTTCAAACACCCAGAATGTCTCAGCCAGCATGGATGGCTGGGGAATTCTGGGAGTTGAAGTCCATACCGCTTAAAGTCACCACGGTTGAGAAATCAAGTTGTGAGGCATTAGGGAGCAAAGATGCATACGACAAAGGCCCAAGAAGGAAGCTCTCTGTACATGTTCAGAGGCCTTTGCAAGGTACAAGCCATCTAAAACTCACTCATGTTTGGAAAAATGTTGCCCCATCCCGGTCCTGCCCATTAAACAGCATCAAAACCAAAAAGGACTTTACGGGCCGTGCGGCCCCCAGAGCTGGCCTGGACCCCCTCCCACTCCAGGCAATCCATTAGCACAAGAAGCAAATCTATGTCATTCCTGCTGGCTGGGAACTCCAGGTTCTGTGCTCCCAGCATCCCTGGCATGTGGGAAAATGGTGCGGTAGGATTGGACGACCGTCCCTGCCTTTCGCTCCTATTTTTCATGCCCGCAAACTGGTGCCTCCCTCACCCTCTTGCCAAATTCATTTCCCCCCATGGGATGTCCAATAGGGGGGGAGAAGAAGAGGGACCCTGGGGTGGGGATAGTCATGACAGCCAACGGGAGCCATCTAGAAGTTTCAACCACTTTTGCCGAATACAAAACAGACCCCA